AACTTAACACCCTTTGAAATCATGTGCTTTTGAAATCCCCACCAGCTGCCTAAATACCTTATTAAACTGTGGTCTTCTGTCACTGCTGATGTTTTCAGGGAACTATCCACAAGTACTCCAAGATCTTTCTCGAGTGGGAACAGATACTTTAGAATCCACCCATATAACCCGTTTTAAGGAAACTTGGAATTATTTCTTCCGATACACTTTCCTTTGCAAACGGTGATTTTCGTTATGTTGTCCAGCAGCACCATGTTCTACCATCGGCTGTGAACTTCACCGTCTTGAATCATTCAGTGTCATCTGCAAAGGTTGCCACTTCAATGTTCATTCCCTTTTCCAGGCCATCAGTGAGTATGACGATCACATCCTTGGGAGACCACCGTCTTTACCTATCTATACTATGAAACGTCATCATTTATTTTTATATTTTATTTCCTGTTTTTAACCAGTTTCTGAGCCAGGAGAGGGCCTTTCCCGTTATCCCCTGAGTAATTTCCTTCAGAGTCTTAGACTGTCTACACTGGATCATTCTTATCCACATGTTTGCTGACCGCTCCAAAAATTGACAGGGATTGGGTGAAGCTTCATTTCCTTTACATAAAGTATTTTTAACTCCTCCCCAACAAAGTCTATCTCTCTGTGTCTCAGGGGCAGTGAGCAGGACTTGATGACCTCTTGAGGTCCCTTCTAGTTCTAGGATTCTGATTCTTTGCTGTAGTTTCTCCTAGTTTTCCCACCACTGATATTAGGGTCACTGGCTTGCATCTTCCAGGATCACCTCTGGTTCCCTTATTCAAAATTAGAGTTACATTTATAGCTGTCCAATCATCAACTTATGGAACTCCTCGCCAGAGGATGTTGTGAAGACCAAGACTTTAACAGGGTTCAAAAAAGAGCTAGATAGACCCATGGAGGTTAGGCCCATCAATGCCTATTAGCCAGGATGAGTAGGAATGGTGTCCCTAGCCTCTGATATGGGTGACCGGAGAGAGACCTGTTGAGTTCCCTTTCTCTGGGGCATCTGGTACTAGCTGCTGTTGGCAGACAGGATACTGGGCTAGATGGACCATTGGTCTGACCCAGTATGGATGGTTTTATCTGCTTAGGAAGATGGTATCAGAGGTAGGTTACATACTACAGTTTGTAGTCCTGCAATATCATACTCGAGTTCCTTCAGCGTTCTTGGATGAATATAATTTGGTGCTGTTGGTTTATTACTGTTTAATTCACAAAGTTGTCCTAATCACTATTCTATGGACTCATCACCACGGGAGCTCAGCACACGGCTCAGCTGGGCGGAGGGAGGGGGGGAGCTGGCAGTCCAGTGCATGGCATAGATGGGCTGTGGACAGAGGGGGGTGGGAGCCAGAGGCCAGGAGTCCCAGTGGGGTGGCAGGGTGGGGGTGAAGGCTGATGTCAGGGGGCTAGAAATGACCTCCCCTGGTCCAGCAAAATCCCTCATCCAGGACCGATCTGGTCCCAGGAGTGCTGGACCAGGGAGGTCCAACCTCTAGTGAACTTAAGAAAAGGAGATAGTATGTGAAAACGGGAATTTTAGATGCAAGCAAGGAAACTAGTCCTCTAACTTACAATGAAATTCAATGGGATCTGGGCAATTCATTCCCATAGAATCGCAGAACACTAGAACTGGAAGGGACCTCGAGAGGGCATTGAGTCGAGTCCCCTGCCCTCATGGCAGGACCAAGCACCATCTGGACCATCCCTGATAGATGTCCGTCTAACCTGCTCTTAAATATCTCCAATGATGGAGATACTACAACTTCCCCAGGCCCGTGGTTCCCAACCTTTTTGAGTATACGGACCGCTTTTCAATCTATTAAAATTTCACGGACAATATAGCTGTTTACAAACATTGCATTATTTGATAACATGAACTATAATACATTTCAAATGATTATCTAAACAAATATAGTAGTAGTGACGGTTAAATGTAACAACACCGAGGTGCCATTTTTTTTATTGACTAAAGCAAACAGAAGAATATGTACACAACTCATAGGTAATACGCTGGTCGTATGTGCCAGTCATTACATGAAACCCATCCGTTCTGATCGCTACACATTTTGACCAGGCAATATCCTACTCCCTCATGAAATCACTCAGCACATCAACAATAGCCTCACCAGTTGCACGCATGGGCAAAATTTGCAAAAGAGAAAGCCCTCTTGTACACCTCTGTTGTATTCATAGCTACAGACTGACAGCAGGTTGGAATGGTTTGCAATTGCCGTTCATTCATTGATTTGCAAAGAATAGAAGCAACTTTTCTGCATCCTCTCTGTCTGTTGTTCCTTAACGTTTTGAGCTGTTTCGTCAATTCTGCACCAAACTGTGGGTAATATCAATTTCAAGGTGATGTTGAAGATTGGCTGGTTTTAAGTGCTCATTTGACAGCATACGTGCCTTTGAAATGTCAGCTTGGATGTATAGACATGCTGTGAAAGCTAGGTGCCTAAATCCCTTAGACTTAGGCCCCATTGCATTATCGTTAGCAGTGTCCACAGCGTTCCTGGCAAACACCACGAAATAGAGCAGTGTGGACTGATCAGCATCCCAAATCTGCATTTCTGCCCCTTCCGTTCATATGTTCATCAGTTTGTTATAATGAATGAGGAAACATGCAAAACCAATAAATGATCCCTAGCACTAAAAACGACCTTTGGGATGGATTAATCTTGGTGCTTTGGTCTGCATTTCTACTCGCCACAGAACATTGGCAAACCTCGTCACATCCGCCTGATGGCCTTTTCCAGGGCTCGCTTCACCTCTTTGTTCCGCAGTGTATAAATGAAAGGGTTTAACATCGGTGTCACAATCGTATTAAAGATGTTGACTATTTTGTTAAGATCCAATGAGTTCTGTGCTGAAGGCTTGACATACAGAAAAATGGTGGAGCCGTACCATAGTGTCACGACGGTGAGGTGGGCCGAGCAGGTGGAAAAGGCCTTTTGCCGACCTTGGGCCGACGGGATTCTCAAGATGGTGGAGATGATGTAAATGTAGGAGACCAGGATTATCACGCATGAGCCCAGAAGGATGTTAATGGAGACGATGAAAGTTGCCCGCTCAACGAGACTTGTGTCGGCGCAAGAGAGCGCGATCCAGGAATCGATGTCACAAAAGAAGTGATTGATGACATTGGGGCCGCAGAAGGACAACCTGGATATTAGAGCTGCCAAAACGGAGATCTCCAGGAACCCACACAACCAAGCTCCGAGGGCCAGCTGAGCAGAGAAGGTGATGTTCATGAGCGTGCTATAACGCAAAGGGTGGCATATGGCCAGATAGCGGTCATAGGCCATAACGGCCAGGAGGAGACACTCCGATGAGCCCAGTGAGAAGATGAAATACAACTGCAGGATGCAGCCGGGGAAGGAGATGGTTTGGCTGGTGCCCAGCATGACGCCAATGGCCTTGGGGACAAATGCGGTGGTGTACCAGATTTCCAGGAAGGAGAGATTACAGAGGAGGAAGTACATCGGAGTGTGGAGTCGTGGGTGGGTCCGCACTAAGACAATCACAAATGTGTTCCCCATCACCGACAGGAAATACAGAATTGAAAACACTGCCGCGAGGGAGAGCCGAAACGACCAAGAGCCGGGAAAGCCAAGGAGCAGGAATTGCTGGACACTGGTTTGGTTTTCTCTTTCTGCCTCAGCCCCAAGGTCCATCTGTCAATATATAAGTGTTTAGAATGTGAACACACTGAATGTGATTTTGGATGGGCCAAAACCCAGCACCTGACCGTGACAAAGTGCCAGTACATGTCACGAATCATGGGAAGTGTGAATGGTTAGCATGAGTGCATCAACAGTGAGTGAGCTGAAGAGAGGCCATGCTAAAGTCCAGGCAAGAGCACCGGAGAATTATGGACTTGATTGGTCCAGGCAAGAGCCCCGGAGAATTATGGACTTGTTTACAACTTTAAGAAAAGTACTGTGTGAAATAAAAGAACTGTGTATACGTGCTGAGGCAGCTTTTCCAGCATTTGAAGATAAGAAAAAAAAAAAGGAAGGGAAGAATCTAACCAAGGACAGACCATTGTTTCTCACTCGTGATGAGGCAAGCAAAATTGGGTGGTGTAGAAACCGGGTGTTTCTGGATTGGTTGTGGTCACACCAGTAAGAAGAAGGGGGTGTCACTAATGGACATCACCCCACTTGGATGGCATGCAACCAGTAGATGGCATCCCACCCAACTGGCCCCTACTGAGGGGATATATACCACACCATTTTGTCCTAGGAGTTTGAGTCCATTGATTCACCATATTGGGGTGATGTGCAAATCGGACTTCCACCTCAACCATATTTACCAACATTAGTTGGGGTCTGGCCAGCTCCAGAGTGTGAGTGTTGAGTGTGAGTGTGTGTGTTAAATTGAATTAAGAATTAGGCTGCTAAATTGGGTTAAGAATTAGATGTAGATTGTTACGTATTCCGTTTAATTATTGCTTTTAATGTCTTTTTATGCTTGCAATGCCTTTTAATGTCTTTCACTGTTTTAATTGTTTAAGTACTAAATACACACACACACACACACACACACACACACACACACACACACATATGTAGTGCTTTTAAAATTTGCTCCTGAATTGCTTGCAATAAGCTTGTCAAAGGTACAATCTGTCTACTGTGGGTCTCTGTTCTGTGAGCTGGTTACAAGACACGGTCAGGAGCTCTGTTTGCTCGGGTTGATCACCCGAGCAGCAGCAGCGCCCTCTTGTGACATACACTATGTGCAGATCCGCACATCTTATTGCCTCTCTATAAATCCGTGGTATGCCCACATCTTGAATATTGTGTACAGACGTGGTCACCTCATCTCAAAAAAGAGATATTGGCACTGGAAAAGATTCAGAAAAGGGTGACGAAATGGTGACGGGTTTGGAACGAGTCCCGTATGAAGAGAGATTTAAAAGACTGAGACTTTTCAGCTTAGAAAACAGGAGACTAAGGGGAGATAGGATAGAGGTCTATAAAATCATGACAGACACTGAGAAAGTGAATAAAGAACAGTTATTTATTTGTTCCCATAATATAAGAACATGGGGACACCAAATGAAATGAAAAGGTGTCAGGTTTAAAACAAACACAAGGAAGTATTTCTTTCACACAACACACAGTCAACCAGTGGAACTCCTTGCTAAAGGATGTGGTGAAGATCAGGACTGGAACAGGGTTCAAAAAAGAATTAGATAAATTCATGGAGGTTAGGTCCATTAATACTTATTAGTTGGGATGGGTAGTGATGGTGTCTCTACCCTTTGTTTGTCAGGGGCTGGGAATGGGTGACAGGGGAGGAATCACTTGATGATTCCCTGTTCTGTTTACTCCCTCTGGGGCACCTGGCATTGGCCACTGTCAGCAAACAGGATGCTGGGCTGGATGGACCTTGGGTCTGAGCTAGTCTGGCTGTTCTTATCTTATTATGATCAGTAGAATTGTCCCCATTTTACAGGTGAGGAAATTAAAGAAACGTGTAACACGATCTGTTCAAATCACAGCAGCAGCTGATGATAGAAGACAAAAGAGGAATGGTGGGTGGAATGATTGATTTGGGAGTGGTCCTGCTTGGAGCAAGGGGTTGGACTAGGTGACCTCCTGAGGTTTCTTCCCAACCTAATCTTCTACGATTCTATGAAATTCTCTCCTCTATGCCTCATGCACTGATTAGAAATAGGTGTCAAGTATCAGAGGGGTCGCCATGTTAGTCTGAATCGGTAAAAGTGGCGAGGGGTCCTGTGGCACCTTATAGACTAACTGAAGTGTTGGAGCATCAGCTTTCGTGGGCAAAGACCCACTTCATCGGATGCAAGGGGGTCTTTGCCCACGAAAGCTTATGCTCCTACACTTCAGTTAGTCTATAAGGTGCCACAGGACTTCTCGCCGCTTTTGTAGAAATAGGTGTGTATCTCACTATCTATTTCTCTATACACACATTTTCTTTTTCTCTTATATGCCCAAGTAATGTCTTTATATGTGTAAACTGCGCGGGTTAGTATAGTTAAGCTGCTTGGAAATTTTCCACCATCTTTTTTTTCCTGATGGTTACCGCTTTTCTCAGGCAACAGAGGCTACATCTAGACTGCACTCTAAAGTCAAAAAGAGATATGCAATGAGCACTATGCAAATTGTGTATCTTTTTCCGATTTCATTTCAAAGAGGCTATTTCGAAATTTGGCACGTCTACACGGAGCCAGATTTAAAAATAAAGTGCTCTTTCGAGACATCCTTTACTCCACGTAGAACGAGTTTTACAGGGATGACAAAAGAGCACGTCCATTATTTTGAATTTTTTTTTCAAAATAGTTGACATGTTCCTTGGATACGGCATTGCTATTTCTGGATACTTCCGATATCCCAGAATAGCAATGCAGTCTAGATGTACCCAGACTTTTGGAAAGTGAAGCAATAAAATATTTTTGGAACATTCATAAAAGCAGTAGGATGTTGTTTCTGGTGACTAACGAAGAAAATGCTCTGATTGAAATTTGGGGATATGTGAACGCTTTAACAAACCTCAGAAAAGAATAAAAGAATATTGAGACTATATCAATGATATGATATATCTTTGTGGAAAAAACGTGGATAGGAAAACATCTTTTCCCGTTGGCTCTAAGAATTCTACAAGTTACAAATAATAGTATTTTCTTTTGTCCATCCTAAATGTTATACTATATTACTAAAAAGTGATAAGACAGACTCATTCCTTGAGTAGGCATTTTTTTTAACTCCCAATGTGGCATACATTTTGAACAACAGTATGGAAGTGGCTCATATTACTGAGAAAAGCAAACCTGTTTCTCACTGCAGCTACGTTTAAATCTAATTCCAGGATCACCTGTGTCTGATTAATGGGTCTAACTTACCATGTCTTGTCAATACAAACTCCTTTCGCTCTCAATCTTTATTCTCCCCGCATGATGAACAGGACAGTTTGCCGATGAATAGTGCATCTTATGTTGGTTCCTCTTGCTTGTTCCCCACCTAAATATATAGCACATATGGGAATATTTCACACCTGGTTCACATTGAGAGTAACGTCAATTCACGTCATTCTAGCAATATAAAGAGCCTGAATAAATACACATTAAGCATAATTCCTTCTCAATTGAAACCCCAGTTCTACTTCCAGAGTGGTATAAAGGAGAGAGAAAAGATTCAGACACATCTGATAGATGTTGTCTTTGTTATGAATCTCCTTCCACCATCACCCTACCGGCCTTTCCCGTGTCTACCTTATTAATGAGCCGTGGCTCACACTAAGGAGGTTGGTTTTGTACCCACCCCTGTCTTTGCAGTGCCGTGAGGGAATCTGATCTCAACACAACTTCGGACTCCCCTAAGGTATGTAACCAACTCTGTGGAGTCAGACTGGTCTTCTGAGTAAAACAGTCATTTTTCAACAGTAAAACACCAGGACATTATTCCCGTCTGTGCCTTATGAGTGATCGAAACTTACAGGAGCCTGGCGTTTTCAAATATGTTAGAGCAATAGAAGCTGTTGTGAAAAGAATGGCTATTAGTTCACCCCAGGACTTCGGTGTATTACTTCATCCCATCCATACCTCCATAATGAGAATGGCCCATTCCTTCTTGACCCTGGAAAACAATTGGTCATAGTCTTTTTTTCTTCTTTCTTTTCTCAACTTTATCTTTTTTCTTCTTTTGTCTTTGTGTACTTCCTTTATTCGTCTTTGTCTCTTTTCATCTGTCTTGTTTGTCTGTCTTCTTTTGTCTTCTTTCATCTTCAATTTCTTTTGTATTCATCTGTTTTTTTCTTTCTTTATCTTTTCTTTTTTCATCTTCATCTTCTTTCGTCTTCTTTCATCTTCGTCTTTTTCGTCATCTTTTCTCTTCGTCTTCTTTCTTTTTCTTTTGTCATCTTCTTTATCATCTTCATCTTCATTTTTTCTCCCTCCTCCTTGCAACACCCTTTTAGAGACTTGTAAACTGCTCTCATGTCCCCTCTCAGTCTTTTCTTTTCCAAACAAAACAAGCCCAATTCTTTCAGTCTTACTTCATAGCTCATGTTCTCTAGACCTTTCATGATTCTTGTTGCTCTTCTCTGGACCTTCTCCAGTTTCTCCACATCTCTTTTGAAATGCGGTGCCCAAAACTGGACATGATACTCCAACTGAGGCCTAATCAGCACAGAGTAGAACAGAAGAATGACTTCTCGTGTCTTGCTCACAACACACCTGTTAATACATCCCAGAATCATGTTTGCTTTTTTTGCAACAGCGTCACACCGTTGACTCCTATTTAGTTTGTGGTCCACAATAACCCCTAGATCTCTTTCTGCAGGACTCCTTCCTAGACAGTCACTTCCCATTCTGTGTGTGACACAGATTGTTCCTTCCTAAGTGGAGCATTTTGCATTTGTCCTTATTAAACGTCATCCTATTTACCTCAGACCATTTCTCCAATTTGTCCAGATCAGTGTGAATTATGACCCATCCTCCAAAGCACTTGCAACCCTTTCCAGCTTGGCATTGTCTGCAAACTTCAAAAGCATCCTCTCTATGCCAATATCATTGATTAACAGAACCGGTCCCAAAACAGACCCCTGTGGAACCCCACTTGTTATACCTTTCCAGCAGGATTGTGAACTGTTAATAACTATTCTCTGGGAATGGTTATCCAGCCAGTTATGCACCCACTTATCG